CGGATTTGTTCTTTTTAGCTTTAAAATCACAAATAAGGCTGAAGTGGACAGTCCATCACCCTACTCACATATTCTGATTTTGATCATCTGTGCTTGGAGCAATGTTCAATAAATTTGTATAAAATTTGATGTCTTCATGTAGACACGTTTAGTATTTTATTTATAAAACGCTGTCTGTACCTCGCGAATTTTTCCCATATTTTTATAATGGACTGACAAATATTGCTAATTTGAGTTTTCATCGGAATTATTGAAACACCAATAATAGCTTCTTCACCTAATTCGTGTAAAACACAGTAAAGCACGGCGTTAAACCGTGCCTCCGTGCAGCTTTTGCACCAAACATCAAATAACAACCTCCGAGAAATTGAGCGCTCCTCTGCGAAAAAGAAATAAAAATAAAACCTCTTGAGTGCGCAGATAAGCGCAGCAGACCTTTCATGATATCGATAGCCAAAAGAACAATATTTAATGTCTTTATTGTCGTAAGCGTGAATTCTGGTAAATTCTATATTAAAAGATTTTATAAATTTATAAAATGGTGTGAGAATAAAATTAAAATTAACGTAAATTAAACATTAAATTAATTACTTTTTCAAACGCCCCACGACCAATCAAGAACAATGTTTGCTAATTTTGTGGTACTACTTAAAAGAGAAAAAAACATTCGAAAACACAATTCGTGAATGCTTACCGTGATGTAAGTACCAGTTGATGTACATTCGCCTCCAACACGAAATGTAGTGAAATGCAACTGACAGAGGGGTGCGATGACACCACAAGATTGTTCATGTTTGAACTTGTTCACCTGCCGCCTCAAGCGATTGAGAACAGAATCAGATCAATTTCCATTTTAAGTACTATGGACCTTTTAAAATCAAATACTTTAGATAATCCTCCTGAATACACTGGAAAAATGGAATTTTGTTCAGCTAGATGGCCAAAATTACACACTATGAATCGTTTATTTTAACTACGTTTCTACTACTCAATAATTACCTATTTACTTCCAGAGTAAGACATTTGGATGCATATGCATGTAAGCTTTTAGCGTATTATGTATGTAGAAATAAATGCATTTCCGAGTCGCATAAGACTGAAAAAAAATCAAGTTACTACTACTTACTTTCAGACTTCTACAGGCAATATCACAAATCACCTGTTTGTTTTTCCTTTAAAATACGATCGGATACTGCACCGAAGCCAATGTCCAAGGTGTGCTGCAGAGTATCAGAGTTTCGTATCACGGGAGCTCGTTGTGCTGTGAAAAATAAATCTCATTAGGTTGATTGGCGCAGAGTGTGCTTTCACGCTGCGAAGTGTCAAAACGGAAAGATGAGAGAAACCGGGGAAAGTAAAACGGTGACGCGCTGCATAACATTTGAGCTGCACTTTCATTCAGACGCCAACCCGCCATGTTGAAAATATTATTGTCAGCATTAACTCCTACGTTATTTAATTTTATAACATACGGTACTACAGATGCCCAAAACGAAATAGAATATACTGATTATAAAGAGGTTAGTAGATATTACGTATATTTTCTGGGAAATATTTAAAAGATAATTGTTCATTTTAATACAAACAAGATTAGTGTTGTTGTTGTAGTTTTGCGTAGTAGGTTGAAGTAGATGATCGTGTGTATAGTAGGTGTATGTGTGCCCTCAATACTCATTTCAGTTTTAGGATTTAACAGGTTGATATCTGCCAAGAAAATGACAATAATAATGTTGTTGAGTATTATCTTAATCAGCATTGTTTTCAACTGTTCAAGAAACAACTATTTTACTACATAGACATCATTCTACATCATCAAGGCAACCGACAGAAACACTTTCGCATTAGAGATATTTCTTCTTCCTAGACACGTCCATAAAAGGTTACAATTGTTGATATTTTTCTGAGAGTTCTGTGACTATAACCTGATTTCCGAGACCAAATCAGATGAGTAGCTACGACGTACAACTTCACTACGCCAAGAGGTCATTAATAAAAACCCTACTAACAGTTTTTAGACTAATATAAGAAATTATTCCCATTGAATCAGAAATGATCCTATTCGAATTTGAGCCGATATCTGAAGGGCAAGTGATTTCTCTCAACGGAAAGTGTGCAAATATCGCATGACCTTAATCCTAAATAGATTATGTGAGAAATGAAAGAATGGTATATAACTTTTTATCTTATATTTCTCTTCCATTTCTCGTAAATTTTATTATTTATTTTATATTTATAATAATGTATCTATGAAGAGATACCTAAATTATCGTATTTATTTGCTCATATTTACTGCCGTTTTTTCTTCTGCCTGTAAGTGAAGGTGATCATCCCTTCTCGCAAATTATTTTTGCCTACTCTTGCTCCCTGTATACGGTTCTTCGCTAAAGATACTATTTCTGTTTGATGCACGAGACTTTCTCCGTCATCGACTGACCTCGATATCGACACTCACAGAGCAAGTACGTGAAAGAGAAATGTTGAACGAGTTAAATGGCTCACTGTTTGTTTGCTTTTCTATTCTGTTTACTTGTTTTATTTATAGCCGTAAACCCTTCCGTTTCAACCACAAATATTATCAAAAGCCTATGTACAAATCTCCCACACTGTTAAATAATGCACTTCCTACTTATGTCTTGCAAAGGACTGCTATGCATTATTCTTGAGGAACTGCCTACTTTTTGATATTTTTTGATATATTGTGATTCATTAGTTTTTCCCATATGTGTATTGAAAACAAATTAGCATGGTTCGTAGAAAATCGTTTCAACATGTTTGCCCTGCATAAATTGTTAATTCATCGACCGACGGAATTTAATCTAACATTCATGCTATGGATCGAATACGAAGCATACGTACTTTTAAAACTTGTTATTATTATTAATCAAGAAAAATGTATGATAAATCATGTACTACTAGTTTCATGGAGTGGCGAATTACGAACAGAGACAATTATTTTTTTTAAAACGTCCTATTGTCATATTTTACAATGTTTGCAGAAAAATATCAACCTTGTAGTTAATGGGAGGAATACTTCATGCTAAAAAATGCTCTGAGTGCAAAAAAAGATATATTTATTCAAATCTGCATGCCTTCCTGAAACGGAAAGAAGAAGTAAAATGAAATAGACTCAAATCAAGTTAACTCCCTCGATAATAAATAGTTCTATAGTCTTCCTGAAGTAAGTTAATGACTCTGTAACAGAACTTAAAAGATATTCTGTTTGTAGTCAGATTGATTTTTTTCGGTTGCACATCTCTGTATAAGAGTTATTGATACATCTTGACTTCAAGCAACTGTATCTCCATCTACCCGATGGAACTACAAAGTAAAGTATATCTTATAACTGAACTGGTCATTGTCAAGTGAAAGACTTTAGGAAATATTCGCGACTCGCGCTCCCTGCCCACGATTTCCGGGGAAGAATGGTGCGCAGGGTTCTGAAGCTGCAACCAACATTTGCAAAAGAACTGCCTCTACGGTCCGACCGGCTCGTAAGCTTCCTATGCGCACAAAAGGAAGTAAATTAAAACAGTTAGAGGCATTTTACGTGTGGGTTTGTTGTAATAGTGAGAGAGTAGCCACACTATTATAGAGTTTCTTTTTCAGTTTGTTGTTCAGTGTCTTAGAAGTGGGTGGATTGTAAGGTCTTATAAATATTTTAGCAGGAGTTTTCTTTGGATTGAACTGGATCTTGAGTTTGGAAGCCCAGCTATCAAATACTCTGAAGCAGTATAATAGAATTCTATTTCTAATTACAATGAGGGAGGTTCGTCTCGTGCATCCGGCCGCATCTGCATCGGCGGCGGCGGCGCGGCGGCGGCTGCGAGGCGCGGTCTAGGTCAGCCCTCGTTCCACTTCGAAGGAGGCGCCGCGGCGGCGGAGGAGGGGGAGGGGGC